TCAAAATTTTCGATTTCTAACAGGAGAATATGATAAGGAAAGAGGTGGCACGTACAATTTTTCTTATCATAGGAATTTGTTTGTTTCTGATTAGGTTTTTGACTTTTTTGTTAGTGGAGTCCATAATTGATGTGTTATTTTTGGTGTTGAGGATATAGGAATATAGGAATATAGGAATATATGTAGGTAATTATTAATAAATAGTCTCATAAAATTCTTTTACAATTTTATTTTATTGCAAATATTTTTTTACAATAAGTATACATTTTTTACATTTGTTATTTTACATTTTATATATTTTTTTCACACTTTCTTGTTTTTCTGTTGTCTGTCTTTGATTTCTTCGCTTTTTCCCCATTTGTTCTTTTTGTTTTTTCAGCAAATTATCCAAGAGGGCCAGAGATTACTGTTCGTCATCCACAGCCAAGGTTGTATTTTTTAAAGTATTGTTGACATTATTCGGTGAAGCATGGTTATTTGCAAAAAATGTGGGTTCCCGGCTCGTTAGTATTTCTGTAAAAGAAAAAGTAGTATTAATTAGTATAATTTAGAATTTCAATTGGATGCAAACGAAAGTGGAACGCAATTTTACTTTTAATTCATAAAATAAATTGAATTTTCTAATAGAAAATACTTTTTGATTGATTCACGATCTTAAATGATAGAGATAGTATAAATAATATTCTGTCCATATAATCTAAATTTTTTTGTATATCTTTAAATTTAAATGAACATAATATTTCAATTTCAAGATAATTCTATGATTTTAATCCATCATGAATAAATTTTTTTAAACCCATCATATATCTTATTTATTTCTTTTAAATTTTATATCTATTAAATCTACTATTTTACACTTTACACAACAAATAAAATTTACACGAATTTTTCCATCAAAGTTAAGTCTCATTCTCGATCGATCGTTGGACTACCCTTCACCGTAAACGAGTCTCGACGTTTTACGACTGTTTCAAGATTTCCGGAATGCGATCCAATTTACGATAACGATCCTTACCCCGATATCCGTGCTGGCTGCAACGTAGGCTAGCCCTGAAGATCGAGGACAACCTTGCAGAACGTTCATATGCCGTCCACGCAATTCTCGTTGACAGTTCTTGGGGATGATTGGAGACGTTTCACGATTTCTCCTGCGGTTTACGTGCTTCCTTTACGATCATTCTGCTTTCAATGACTTCTGTTACTCTCGTCTCGAAAATATTTCTATTCGTTCTTGCTAGATCTAATTAAATTGATTGAACGACACGAACTTTATTTTGTATTTATTGAATTGCATGGATAAATGGTTCATTATTATTTTCAATAATTTTTAAATGTATAAAGTTCTTCTTTTCCTTAAACGATTCTTGTGCTCTCTGTAAGCTTGGAATTTAATTGATGATATATACGTATATATACTTTTGATTTTGTTACGGGACTTTTGAGAGGAAAGATATAAAACATATAAAGGTTGAGGTTAAATTATGCAAATTTTACGAGAGGATCCCGTAGTGGAATCGAATTTCACGAAATCCTGTTTTCCAGACTTGGTTCTTGTTACGATAAGATTTTCATTGACCAAAAGAAGTTTGGATTTAATCAAAATATGATTTTATAATTAAAAAAGGAATTTTGTTATTTAATCAAACTCTTTGATCCTTGTAAGAATTGACGATGCTTTGATGCTCAACTTATTATTCTCAATCATTACAAATCTTCTTTTCTTCGTTTCATTTGAGAAATACTTACGAAAAAAGATTTTGGAATTATTCTTTAGAAAGTCGGATATCGTGGACGAGAGTAATTACTGTTCGAATTTGTGAAATAATACAGATAGACGAAAAAAAGAGACAGGTGAAAGTTTTATAATCACAAGCATCAAACTGTAATAGATCTCTCTCCTTACAAAGAGATAAATTATCGGAAAGTAGCAAAAAAAAAATAAAAAAAATAAAAAAAATAATCTCAAACATAGAAATGCAATTTACATACGATAAAATTTCCTATAAACTCTGACTTCTGTTCTTCGTAAACGAAATAGATAAAACTAATCGTTTTCATTTTGAATAAAAAAAATTTCTAATATTAATATTTACGATAAATTTATTCATCAATTAACCAACGATTGATAAATTGATTAAAATTCTTTGCTTAAAGTTACCAATTTACTTTTTACTATTTTCCATTCAAAAGTATTTTCAATCAAACTCAAAGATGTATCGATGTGTAATTGCGTGTTGGAATGCATTTATTTTTCTTGGAATGCGATGGAAGAAGGCTAATTAACACGGCGGTTGGCAATAATGGAGAAACAAGAAAACGAGGAGGACGATATCACCGTGACAATTCGTTCGTAAGTTTTCGTAATTAAATCGACGGGAGATCGGGACTTTAATTGAGATCTGCATTCTCGGCCAATTATTCACGCACTTCTCGCGTGAAAAATGCAAAAATACGTTCTATTAAAACACTTTCCTTCCCTTTTTCTTCGAGAATATTAAATTAAACGAAAGCTATTTTTAATTGCATCTATCTGCGTGCATCTCGACTCATCTTTCGTTCGTTTAAATTAAACTATTTGTATTTTAATTAATATTCTTAATTTTGCCGCGGCTTGAGTTATTTATTATTTAAATATTTCTCTAATTTATTAAAAGAGAAATCTGGATTCGAGGGAAAAAAAAATTCTTCTCAAGGAAAAGTATTACAAAAAATAAATATTTCTGTACAAGAGATATTAGGGAGGAAGAAATTTCTTATAAAGGTGTAGAAAGAAAAATAAAATTCATATGGGATTTACGACAACGTTTACTGACGAAAAAAAAAAAAAAACTTCTTATAATAATTGAGTTTACAATACAATATTCTTGCATTTTTTTGGGGGGGGGGGGGTTAAAAAATGAGAAAAGGAAAAAAAAAAAAAAAAAATTTAAAGGGGATTTACCACAACGTTTTCTGGCGAAAAAAAAAAAAAAACTTCTTTAAAAAATTGAGTTTACAAAACCATATTCTTGCATTTTTTTGGGGGGGGGGGGGTTAAAAAATGAGAAAAGGAAAAAAAAAAAAAAAAAAAAGATAGGAAAATAGTGTACGTGTATATACAATCGAATCGCAGAGCAACGTCTCGATAAAATCTAAAATAATAATTGCTTCTCTTCGATATTACGGAAGCGAGGTTGAAATTCTCGAAGAGAACTTTGAATCGACGTTGACGTAGAAAACTTAATAAAAATAATCAACCGCGAATGATGGGGCTTTGATCGATTTTTAATACGCATATATATATAAAAAAAACGAGAAAAAAAAAAAACATACGAAGATATCACAATCCAGAACGATAAATTTACACGTGCTCGAGGACCAATCGCCACCCCATACGCATCGAGAAAGACTAGAATGATTAAGAATATAACTCGACGATTGAAACCTTCGTAAACGTTCGTGCTTAATGATGATACAATAATAATAATAATAATAATAATTATTGTTACAATAATCGATATAACTATGATGGAACGATAGAAAAAGATCGCTTTTATTTTTTTCAAGATTTTTTTTTTTGATCGATACGATGCGTTTGAAACGTGAGTTTATGTACAATGGAAAAGAAGTGAAAAATATATAATACACAACGATAAAACGATATACACCCTTGCTCAAAGTTTTAGAAAAGTCATTATATTTCTTTCAATGTTGAAATAAAGTAAATGTTAATTTAACTTTGTACGAAATGACTTTATTAGAATTACAATTTTATTAGAAATATCTTGCGATTTTTGAGCAAAAATGAAGATCGCTCGATTGATACGTTGTCACTCGATTCATGTTTGATGCAATTGTGCAATTGATCGTTTATCGGAGCTTTTCTTCGAGCAATTTTTTTTTTATTATTCGTTAAATATATCTATGAGCAAACGATATTTCTTTTTTTTTTTTGTTTCTACATTTTTTACAGTATGTTTTTTTTTTTAATTTACAGCATTTTATTTTATATCGATAAATCGTTAACTATTAACGAAAAACACCGATAGGAACGAATCTTCGACGACTGGCGCATTGATTGAAGAAGGAGAAGAGATACATTACAATAATACTAAACGAAATACTTAGAAAAGAATCTTAGATGTTTTCTCCTCGTTGTCAAAAAAGAAACAGCGAAGAACGGCTCTTATCTTTAACTGTACATGTCATACGTTATTCTATTTTCATATTTGCATTGTTAGATCATTCGTTTTATCTTGGTTTTCAACTCAACCATTCACACAACCACTCTGTCCTTTCTTGATTTTGCATCTCATGCAAAATATTTTAATATTTAACTCTCTCGTGAGTTTCATATTCAACATATTAGCACTTTTTCTTTGTATGCACCCATCTCAAAATATTTATTACTTCGAAGAACAGGGCATTGTCATAGTTCCAGAAAACTTTTACAAAAAGTTACAATATATAAAATCTACATATGCTCTCCCT